ATTAATTATCTTTAGTATAATATAAATACTATTACTTAAAATCCTAGCTTTAGTATTAGCTTTTAAAATACTATTTACTAAACTTAATAATTAAATAATATAGTTAATTCCTTATTTAAGATTTTTAGCTAATTTTTAAATAAAAAATAAAAAAGACTTTATATTTAAATTTTATAATACTTTTAAAAGCTTTTAAAATTAACTAAAAGCTGCCTTAAACTTAGCTGCCTTAGCTAAAGCTATTAAAGTAATAAGAACTTAATTAAACTTATTAATACTTAATATTAAAAAGGAAGCTAAACTTATTAAGTTTATAGCTATAAATATACTTACTTAGTAGTTAATATACTTTAAAACCTCTTAACTTAAGCTTATAAAAATAAAAATAACTTTATATAAAGTTAAATTTAAAAAGTAAGTAAAGGCTACTTTAAAAACCTTAGCTTATTAATAAATAAAAGCTACTAATTATATTTACTTACTATATATACTAATAAGACTAAAAACTATTTAATTAATAAAACCTACCTTTAATTATATAATAATAATAAAAAAAAATAAAAAAAAAAGAATAAAAAAAAGGAGAATAATTAAAAGAGTTTCTAGTAGTTAATATTAAGCAGATTACTAAAAGAGGTTAATTAAAATATATAATTAGCTAAATAAAATCTTACTTAAGTTTATTAAGTAGTAAATATATTTAATTAATTAATTAATTAAGGGAAATTAAAAGTTATAAAAAAAGTAAAATATAAAATAATAATTAAAGTAGTTTTACTGCTTTAAAATACTGCTTTAAAAAGTATATTATATATAAAGTATTTAAATTCCTTCTGCTTTTTTATATTAAAAGGACTAATAAATTTAAAGGCCTAGAATTATATTAATATAAAAGTATAAAGATTTTTATATTTAATATAGCTAGTAGAATTTTATAATAAATATATAGTATAAAGGAATATATAATAAAAATAAGGTTAAGAATAAGGATATAGGCAAGGAGTATATTAATAAAGCTTTAAAAAAAAGACCTTTAAATTAAATAAATATATAAATAAAAAATATATAAAATAAAAAAAAAGGTAAAAAGTTTTAATTTACTTAATTTATAATTTTTTTTTTTATTATAATTTAATATATTATTTTATAATTAATTAAAGGTATTTATTTAATTACTATAAGTAAAAGGGAGTTATAAAAAGAGGCTAGTAAGGTATAAAATAGTAAATAAAATAAAAGAAGGAATATAATAGTTTAAAAAGATTAAGGCTCCTTTTAATAATAAGCCTTAATAAAGAGGATTTTATAGCTTAAAAAATATAAATTAAAAAGGTAATAATTAATAAGGAATAATAAGGCTAATTAAGCTAGAAATAGTAATAGTAATATATAAGAAAGGAGACACTCCTTAACTTAAGTAATAAAATTAAGTAAGTTAGTTTTTAAAATATAAGCCCTTAAAGTGCTTAACTAAGCTAGAATAGCTTAATTTTTATATAATTAAATAGTATTTTAACTTATTTATATATAGCAGTTTTAATAGTTTATTAAGAAATAGATTTTTTATAAAATAGTTTAGTTAAGGAGAGGTAGTATTTAAAGGTATATAATTTAACTATTAATAAATTATCTAGTTATATTAATAAAAAATGCATTATCTTTATAGCTAAAGAGCTTGGCAAATGCCTTATTTTAAATATTAAAGGCAAGGAAGTTATTCTTTTTTTTTATAAAATCCAGCCAGGCCTTAAAGGTTATCCTTTTTTACTTTATAGTCTATCTCTTAGCGCAGTTAGCTTACTATAGCTTTTTTAAACACTTAATTTTAATCTTAATAAAATAGTAAGCCTTATAAAGTTATAACTTTACTTACTTAGCCTTATTAGCTTATCTTTTTTTTTAATTTTATTCTTAGATTTTTTTAAGGCTAATAGTAGTATAAAATTAACTAAATAGCTTAATAAGCCTGCTATACTTCTTATAACTTACTAACTTCTTAATACAGCAAGTTTAATTAATTATAAAGTGGTTAATATATTTTTTTAAGGCAGCAGCCTTTATAATAATAAGACTAGCTTATTAAAGCCCTTTTTAAGTTAGCAAGCTTATTAAGTTATTATATTTCTTATAAGTATAGTAAATTATAGCTAAGGCCTAATAGAAATAAGCTTTTTTAAGCAGTAGTAATGCATATACTAGGTTAATTACTGCCTTTACCTTTTACTAGTTAGTAAAAACGCGCTATAGTGCTAGACCTAGTATTAAAGGATAGATTTTTATTTTTTTAAACCTTAAGAGGATATTTTAAGTTATAAATCCTTTATTATATATCTTCTAAAAGGAAGAGATAAAGTCTAGCTGTATAAAGGCTAAGTTACCTTTAAATACTAATCTTTAAAGGATCTTTTAATAGGCAAGCTTAAAAGGCTAGAAAACGCTAATATTAAGAGGTTAAAGAATATATATTAAATAAGGAGGGAAGATAGTAATAAAGATATTAAATTTAATATAATATTTTATAAAGTTAATAAATATATAGCTAGAGAAGCTATTAATAATAAAAAAATAATATATCTTCTTTTTTTTTAAATGCTAGATTAATAGTAACTTAAAGGGCAGCAGTAATAGCCTTACTAAATCTTAAAGCTACTTATTATAGCTAAACTATACTTTAAAAGATACTTTAAGTTATCTAGCCTTTACTAATCTCTTCTAGGTCTTCTAGTTAAAGTAGTAAAGCTATTTTAATATAATCTTACTATTTAAGAAGCTAGTCTTAAAGTAAGTAAAGTAAATAGCTTTATTAGCTTTAATCTTAGCCTAAGACTTAATTAGGAATATCTTAAAAATAACCTAAAAAGGAATTAACTTACTAATAGTATTAATATAGCTAATAAAGGTTAAGGACTTATAATTACTTAAATTAATAACTTCTAGCTTTTAGCTTTAAAGTAAATATATAATAATAACTAGAATTTGCTTTTAAATACAGCTAAGCTAGATACTATACTTATTTTTATTTTATATCTTAAATATGCTAATATTAAAGGTTATAATAAGTTCTTTTAACTTCTTAAAGAAAATAATAATATAGTTAGACTTAAAGGCTTTAAATGCCTTCTAGGCCTTATTTACAGCCTTAATATAAGTTATTTAAAGCTTTAAATAGTCTTAAAGCTATTATAAATACTAATTTTACCTTAGATTATTAATATTAGGGTTATAGCAGTAATAGAGGTTATTAGCAGCAGCTATAAGTTGCAGCTTTATAGCAGGAAATCCTCCTTACTATAGCTATATTATATATATAATAAGAGTATTATCTTTTTTATTTATTAAGGCCTGCAGCTAGCTAGGCTATTATAAAATAGGATCTGGTGCTTAAAGTAAGGAAATTATATAATAGACTAATAAAGGGCTTATGTTAAATTAGGCAGCGGCCTTATAAATTAACAGCAGCTTCTAGTTATAAAAAGGGCAATTATAATTACTTAGAATTGCAGCCGCAGCCTGGAATGCAGGGGATAATTTATCTATTACTTTTTAAAGCTTTTTATATAATTAAATACGCATTATTGTTTTTATTTATATATAAATTTAGTATGCTAGGGAACTAGGAAAGGTATGTCCTGATTTTTAGTGCGTTCTAGACATTTCTATACTAACTAGAAGGCGACGGCCTGATAGTTGGTCACGAAGGGTGGAGCTAACGGGTAATAGTAATAGTAGGTGTACGGTGAAAGTTTGGTGCATGCCACGACGTACTAAGGCAAGGTAGGATCCTTCACAGCGGATAGTAACCTAAAGGCCCGCCGCGGCCGCTTGCGAGTGGGCACGGAGTGGCGTGGCATGGCAGACAGGCAGGTTTGTTGATTTTCATGCATTGTTGCTTCGACTTGGGCCGGGACGACGCATGATCTAGACGAACGGGCCTCCCTTCGCTTGCATGCAGGTTTCTTGCCGGATATAGGAATGGAGCGAGTGGCGGGAGACATTGACAAGGACGGAGTCGCAATTGGGTTTGAAGCCGTCATTACTAAGATATTACACACATGATGGTTGCGGTCTTGCATCGGAAACAAAGGCGGTGGTGGGAATAATATGCAGGAGAACGAGTGGGCAAGGGTGGGAGTGTTTGCCGAGAATGGAAGACTTGCAGGGAAGACATGAAGCGAATTTGAGGTTGAAGTGGGATTTTTTTGTGATTGCTGTGCTAAGCATTATAGACTAATGTACGGAACCGATTGTCAACTCTTCAACATCCTCTGGGTGGTCTAGTTGGTTCATGGCGTCTGACTGTAATGGTAACATCTCATCAGAAAGTCGGCGGTTCGATTCCGTCCCCGGAGAGCAATTCTCCCCGGAGAAGAGTTACATTTTTTTTGACATTTTCGTCTTCAATTTTTTTTTTTCACTCCTTCCCTGTTGCATCAACGGCCGCGCTTTCTCTTTATCGACTTTCTTGTTCTTTCCTGTTTATCTCATTATGTAAACCTGCTCCAACGCCATCATCTCTTTCTCTCCTCCACTCAACTGAACAACATCTACTTCTCCGCTCTCCGACTTCTTCCTCCTCCTCGAGATTCGTCCACCTTCTTGACCTGGTTTGCTTTCGCTCGACGGCATCGCAAACTCGGAGTGGTCTAGTTGGTTCATGGCGTCTGACTGTAATGGAAATCATCTCATCAGAAAGTCGGCGGTTCGATTCCGTCCTCTGAGAAGCAATTTCTTTTTTTGCCTCGCTTGAAAACCTCGCTTGTCCTCTTCTTGCCGTTATTCGCATTACGAGGTTGGACATTCAGCTTGCTTCGTTGCTGAGAATTGCGGAATCATGTGTAGTTATCACATGCCGAGTCGTGGGGGGCAAGATATCACCCAGGTTTCTTGACCTGGAAGTATTCATCACCAGAGATGACGGTCGACTGACACGAGGAAACATTGCTTCTAGCTCATCGATGATGGATATTATTCTACTGTTCTCCTTCTTAGAGAGCCACCTTTCTTCAACTACCAGAGATCCAAAACAAGACAGAAACGCAGCACCCTTTGCTCCTCGACTAAGCTACCACAAGATGCAGAATACCTGGCAAGCACTTCATGCCAGCATCAACGTCGGTGTTGTCGTCTTGATCGACGGCGCTCTCGAGAGTCATCGCGCGCTCTTCGTTGCTCAGGCTGCACAATGAGCCGCCGGCTCAGGAGCTCCGCCATGGCTTCCCGGTCTGGTTGGTATATGAAGTTGACTATCTCGCGTCTTCGAGCCGCGAGCCGTGCGTCGGCGGCTTGAAGCTGCTGCAGGACGTCGTATAGGCTGAGACCTTGTGCTCCCCCGACTGCGGGCTGGCCTGCTGGAAGGCCATTGGGTAGAAGAATGGGGGGAACCTGAGCATCATCACGGTCATAGCCATGTTCCGGAACGATTGGGGGCGGACGAGGCTCGGGACGCTCACGATGATGCCCATGATGATGCCCATGATGGTGCTCGCGATGGTGCTCACGACGATGCTCACGACGATGAAGATGCTCACGATAATGATCCCGATGATGCACGTGATGATGCCCATGATGGTGCCCATGAGCGTGATGATGAGCACGAGCTGGAACAATTATAGGAGGAGCACGGCCTGGGATGATCTCAGGTGGACGAGCGTCAGCTGGAGCAAATACCCGAGGGGCGCGAGCTGGAGCAAGGGCCGGAGCTGGAGCGGGAGAGGGCGCGGTGAGGTTGGCGGCATCGTCGAGCGCTAACAGAGCGAATTCATCTGTCGGATCATATCGCAGCCGCGGGACTCGAGTCGACGCCGATTGCTCGCTGCCGTCAGCGAGATGAGCTCTTCCGCCTCGCGTGATGGGCAACCGGCCGGGTCGTCGACGGATGGGGACGCGGAGCTCTCGTGCGTTATACAAGGGGCAGCGGCAATCGAACTCCCAATCTTCGCCGCAGAGAAAGCAAAACTCGGCGCCGCACACGCATCTACAATATCGATTAGCGGTCAGCCCTTGAGTGCCTAGCCAAATGTACAGAAAGGGGAGGGAAAGGGGGATTGTATCCTCACGTCATATGGTTGCAACCATCCATCAAGGTTATCACGATGCCGCACTGAGGGCAGCCCACAAGCCCATTGGCGTCCATCATATCCCACATCGCCTCATCGTCGCCCTCCGCTCTGCAAGGCAAGCCTCTGTGCGCTCTTCCGCCGCACTCTCGGCATGTCGCGCTGCTACATGACGGACACGTTCCCACGGCCGTGGCATTGGCCTCGTCCCTGGCCGCCGCCTGAATGGCCGACGCTGGGATAAATGACGCGCAGCCGGGATTGTGGCAGTACAGCCGCTGAGCTGGCGGAACGGCATACTCCGCCGACAGCTGGCGGAACAAATGAACCAGCGCGGGACGTCCAGCGAGGCGGACTGTGGCCTCATCAAAGGGTCGGCAGCAGCGCGGGGGAAAGTCTGCCTCGGAGCGGAGGCCGACGCGCACCAGTTCTCGCAGGCAGCTGGCACAGTAGCGACAGCCGCATGGGACGGCCACAGCGTTCCTATCAAAACAGATGATGCATCCGTTGGCGCCGGCCTCGTCCTCGTTTGCGCCGTCGTCATCTGGTTCGGGTGATGCCCGCAGCAAAAGCCGTCGTTCGTTTTGAGACAAGGCCACGCGGGACTGCAGGTTCTGTAGCCGTGGATGGTTGAGTCGTTCTTCCGCGATCTCATCGTCAGTCATGATGCGCGAGACTATGCGTGTCTGCTCATCCTCAGGTAACATCGATATGGCCAGCGTCACTGCATTCGCCAGTGCCGCTTCTGAGAGGGAGCCTATTTCTCCCGGTGGCACGATGTTCATTCGAAGTATGAGATCAAGTAGCACGGGATGAAGTTCCTCTACTGCTCGTGATCTCTCAAGCGCCGGAGCAGAAGCCGGCGCAGGAGCCACGGCAGGCTGTCGGATGTGTTGTTGATGATGTCGACGCGACATGGCGGCTTGTATGTGGATTCGTCAGGCTTTTCAAGTCTTTGCTCGTTCTTCCTCGGCAATGCCGCAGGGTGTTCTTGTGATTGTTGCTAATTTTGGCGAAGAAAGTAGAGAAGAATGATCTCGAAAGGGGAGGAGGGAGAGAGGAGGCTTCTTCGCCCTACCTTATATCTGTAATCACTTTACGGTTCACGATACGCCAAGCGTTCATTTCCTCATATTGCTGGTTGACTGACTATGTGCTCTTGGCTGTTTGTTCAGGTCACTGTGTTCTGGCGTGCTATTCCACGTCGTCCTTGTTACACTTTTCTACCGTCGAGTGCGGTCAATCACTGAGGACAGAGGGCAGCAGAGCATCGTGAGCTGTGGCAAGCTTGCCCGCATACCAAAACTTTTCAGTTGAACCCCGTGGCGCTTCGATGTCTCTTTGTCTGTATGGAGTGCATGTCCCGCATATCTGCGTCGTCCTTGAAGAAGGGCTGCTTTCCCAGACGTGGACATGTGAATCCACAGATGTGTGTTTGTTTGCGTGTATGTATGTGTGAAGGGCCATGTTGACTATGATCGAAAGTGTGAGAAAGGAGGTAGAGGGGTGCTGAGACGGGGCAGGAGACACTTTGGCAGCAGTGCCATCTTATGGTGAAAGCACTTGAACTTTGACGAAGGCTCAAGGTATGGTGGTATGTCTTGTTGTCCGTCATATACTTGCTCTCTGTGCTTCTCTTGATGGGAAGAGCTGTCAGCGTTCTGCAAGGATTCAGAACAAGCCGTTCACTGAACCCTTAGTGTGTCAAGGAACATGCTTGTTTTGCAGAACATGGAGTGGTTCATGGGCGCGGGTGTGAATCGGAGACGGCGTTGAATCGTGGTGACGATGCGTTTGTCTGGCTGAACAACAGGTGTGATGATGACTGCTGCATAACATGCACTTTTGACGGTTCCTTGCTCCTTCCTGTAGCTGAACCTTGTCAATCGCCTCGCTGTTCCGTATCGCATGGTCTTGGTTTGTTTGTTTGACAAGGATTGGGAGGTTTAGAATGATTCTCTTTCATGACGGACCAAAGTTCAACCCATGACGGAACTCAGGGAGTCTTTCTTTTGAGCCGAAAAAATTTGATGAATTGGCGTACATTCAGAGTGAGACTTCAGCGCGCGAGAAAGGGCCAGTCATTCCCTAGCAAAGTCGTAAAAGCCTCAAGTGAATACATGAAAGGGAAATATATTTGTCTTTTACAGGACAAGGGTATTTCGCAGAATCGAGTATCCAATATCCAAATCCGCCATTCAGCCCCCGACGACCCACGATCAGCTCAACAAGAGAGGCCAAAAGAAAAGCAGAATAAGCAAAATAGCAAGAAAACCAAATACCAAGTGATATCACGAAAAAGACCACAATTCATAAATCACAGTTTGGCCATGATGACGCTGTCCATGGAGTGGGAGACGCTTCCCCCCCACCTCCCGGCGACCACAACTCCCAAGATATCCACACATCTCCCCAAGAAGATATAGAAAAGAGCCCATGATAAAAGTGACCCGTTGGTGCCTTTCCCGAAACCATTGCCCTTTGAATATCCATGTTTCCGTTCCTCCCCTTGTAACTAAAAAGATATTGTTTGATGCAGCCCGCAGTCATGTACCCTTGGAGATCCCAGTAACCGTTGACAAAGGGGGATAATGAAGTGGCGATAATAATAGAAGAAAAAAAGAACCCAGACGCCACTAAACTCCGTTTCGTCAAAAACTCCATCGCTGATATATTTCCGCATGTTCACATCAAAGGCTTAAGGTGGTAATAAAGCAGCCGGATCCCTCTATACATGTAGGGAAGAACGGCGTTAGAAAGAAGGGAGAAGCGCCCGAGTGACGAGGGCAAGGGGACGCAGCTCCTTGTAGAATAGGAGAAGAGAGGTTGTCGCTTGTTTTTGTTCTTTTGTCTTTTCAGTAACTGAAGTCAACGTGCGCCATCGTCGGGACAGAGTCTTTATTTCCATCTGAAGCTGTCGTAATCTCGTTGCCATCCCCGTGGTGCGCGGTGGGGGGCATTTGTATGATGACGGAATTTGAATCGCCCAGGGTGGTGTCGGCGCTTGATTGCGTGGATGTCGTTTGTAGCTCGTGATCCGGCGGAGGTTGGGCGCTAGGTGACCAGCCCTCGTCGAGAATCTGCTGGAAGCTCCAGCTGGGCTCGAAGTTTCTGCTATTCCAGGCATGGTCCACTCGCTCGTACATCTCGTCGATCTGCTCCAAGCTGATTTTGCTGGTTTCATAGACCATAGCCCAGACGAAGAAGACGGCGACGATGCAAAAAGCTCCCCAGATGAAGAAGATCTTGGTGCCGAAGCCAGCCGTGCCGGGCCCGCTGCCCACCATGAAGGGCGTACTGTAGCCGATGCCAAAGTTGAGAACCCAGTTGGAGAATGTCGAAATCGACATGGACTTTGCGCGAACCTTGAGGGGATAGATCTCCGACGTCACGACCCACGCAACGGGGCCCCAGGAGGCGGCGAAGAAGAAGATGTTGAGAGAACAAAAGACAATCAGGATGGTGATAGAGGCCTGCTTGAGGCCTTCTCCAGCAGCGGCAGCAAACGATGCCATGATCAACTGACAGCATGCCATACCGATGGCACCCACTATCAACAGCTTGCGGCGACCCCAAGACTCAATAACGAAGACGCCGACGAAAGTTGACACGACGTTGATGACTTGGATAATGAGCGACTTGGTATAGGGGCTGTCGACGCCCGAGCCACCAAAGAACGTGGTGCTATAGTACATGATGAAGTTGATGCCGGTGAGTTGCTGGAGCATTTGAATGCCGCAGCCGGTAAAGGTTCGGCGTCCAAGGTGAGGCGAGCCTACAAAGATCTCCTTGTAGGTGTCCGGACCCAAGGTCAGTTCGTATTGGTGATTGGCAACAATCTCCTGAAGTTCGTCGATGAGGGCCGGATGGGTGATGTCGAGGCGTCGGAGGCGACTTAGCGAAAGGCCGGCGGCTTCCTTCTTGCCTTGCTTGACCAAGAATCGCGGGGTTTCGGGGAGGAGCAGGAGACCACCGGTCAGAATGGCGGCAGGGAGGATCTGAAGGCCAAGGGGAATTCGGTAGGAGGCTGCTGATGGGATTCTGGAGGTGATGATGTTGATGATGGAGGCGGAGAGGAGGCCGATGGTGATGGAGAGTTGGTAGGCGCATACTAGGGTACCACGTATCCATTTGGGAGCCATTTCAGACTGATATAATGGAACAAGGACTGAGACGGCGCCAACGCCGACACCAGCCAGACATCTGTTTTACGAGGTCAGTCCGTGTCCACGAGTATACATCGGTGGGGAAGACGAAGGCACAAGCCAGGAATAGATCCGGGCGCTGATGAGATGGCAGAGGGGATGACCATGAGGATTGGTGAAAGAGATCGAGACTTGAGAAACCCACCTTCCCACTAACAGGGCGTTTAGCCTCTCGGCAGAGACTTGCAGAATGGCTCCGACGCAGAAGATGAAGACGGACAGGAGGAGGGTTCTTCGGCGACCGAGGGAATCGCCAGCGGGAGCGGCGAGGAGGGCTCCAACAGCGGTGCCAACGCTGAGGATGGCGACGATGAGGGCCGAGTCTTTGGCGCAAATGTCGTCGTTTTCGGTCTTGTTGTTACACGTTCCAAACCTCTGCTTGAACTCCTCCATGGCGAGAATACCGTTGATTGCCCTAGACGAAGATGCGGGTTAGCGGTCGATGTTGGCGCGCATGCAATCAGACCGGTGCACGAGAGCCAAATGCAACGAGGCAAGCGCAAGTTTTTGCAATAACATCAGGTAGCAGGTGCCATGAGAGCGTCCGTCTTCCTGCTGGGGGGGTCGTGCCACGATGACGAGAAAAGACGATGACGCCCTGGTCCCGCATACTCTCGTCGTCGTGCAAGAACGTGGTATGGGTCGACGAACGAGATATGACAAGACACAGCACGCCCCGATGCAGCACTAACGGCATCAACGCAGCCAGAAGACGTCCCCATTCCTCCCCCAAAAGAACAATCTCGAGTGATCGAGTACAAGACGTGGTACGGGCGACAACAACGACATGGCGCAGTCGGCAACGAGATCGACACAGGGCTCGGATGAGGGTGGTGGTCGAGCATCGCACTTGACGATGAGCTGGAAACAATGGCGGCGCTGCTTACCCAGTATCGTAACCAAAGAGCAAACCACCGGAGGCGACGAAGAGGCCGACCATGATGGCTGGCGCCGACGAGCCAGCGACATTGTCGGGCTTGTGCCAGCCCATGGCGATGGCCATGGTGACGGTGTTTGGGGAGTCAATCCAGGGCTTCAGGCGTTGCGACGCCCTTTCGCGTCGAGGCGGGCGGCGGCAGAAGCGAGGGTTTCGACGATGGCGGATCGCCGGGTGACGGGGCGCTGGTCGAGGCGCAGCGACGAGCGAGAGTGTTTCCGAGAGGAAGAGAGGACGCAGAAGATCGGACGACAAAAGCGAGAGGCAGGCAGGCAGGCAGGCAAAAACGCTGCGGCGACGAGCGTCACGGACGGCAGTGGGTAATATTCTCTGCCTCTTTAGTGGAAGATGGGGGGCGCGGAAGCCAGAACAGCAGAGCAGAGGCAAGGGTCGAGCGAGCCCGGCTGCGCTAGAAGCGTGACCACTGACGGTGCAGGTGCTAACGGCACCAAGAGCAGGCACTAACAGGCCGACGGCAGAGGGCACAGTGCCGTGCTAGCAGGAGGTTGTTAGTTGGGCTGGTAGTGGCTATAGTAGTACCTGGTAGTAGTAGGTAGGCAGGTAATAATAGCGACGAGGCGTCGAGTCGGTCGAGGCACGAGTTGCCAGCCGTGGGTTGCCCAGTCCTGGGGCTGACGGATGGAGTCCTTTGGATGAGAGCGGGTGCAGTCCACGGATTCGAGTGATACGAGTCGGCGGCGCAAAGAAGGGCGACGAGGCTTGGAGGCATCAATGGATGAACGAGCTCGAGGCTTCCGCGGCACTGCTCAGGTGCGGTCGCGGCATGGGAAACCCAGGGGATGTCGGAGCATCGAGCCTCGGGGCGTTGTTGGGCCTGTCTTGTGAGCGGACAGTACGTAGTAATACTAGAACTCGCAATATGTCGGCCTCGAGTTGCTGGTTGGACCTGGAGCGTCGAGGTCGAGGGAGAGGGCGAGCGGCTTCCGGGCTGGAACTGGGATTTGTGGGCCGCAGCGTTTGAATGCGCGCAAGCACCGCGATCCAGATTTGGCGGCGGCCGCTTGATGATATGTAGTAGTACTTGTAAGCACTCAGCAGTCAAGGAAGAAACTGTGGAAGCGTGCGGGTGCAAGTTGAGGAACAGAAGACAAGGGGCAGAAGTGAGATTCGGGGCGAGCAACGACGAGGAGCAAAGTCAATGAATGGAGGCGGGAGGGCTAGCAAGCGAACAGGAAGCGATCAGCGCGAGCAGCATGGCGCTGACGGCGCCTGATTGGCCGACGAGGGGCTCTGGTGCGCCCCACCCCGCAGCGGCAGGAGAGGGAAGGCCCTGAAGGACGGGGCCTGGAGCCCTGGAGCAGCCCTGGAGCAGCCCTGGAGGAATGCCCTGGAGCTCCCGCCTGCCCTGCCTGGCGCTGGCTTCTAGGCCTCTTCTCCGCCTGGGCCTGGAAGCCGGAACCTGGGGAGGGGCAGGGGGGATCGATCGCAACGTGGGCGATGTTGCAAGTCAGCGTGGGAAATGATGATTACTAGATGGGCCGTTCGAGCATCGCCGTCTGCTCTGCATTTGCATGCCCGCACGCTGCGGTCTCGCTACCAGCGATAAGAAAAAGTGCACATCATTTGCAGCTACTACCCCAGGCATGAAACCTCTCTACGTCTTGTAGCTTAGCTTCTGGCAGCAGCATCTTGGCCGCTTGGCTTGCGCCTTGGGCCATTGCCGAGCCTTCCCAATGGTGTGTCCTCGTACTCCGTACCACTCAGACACACATGAAAGCACGCGCAGGTACTGAGTACGCGCTGTCGACCCCTGCGAGCGCCCTGGGTAGTCTAAGGTAGGTACAAGTACTTCAGCCCGTCCTTGTCATGCATGAGCAGCCCAGCAACGCTGGTGGAGGGAGAACGAGGACCCAGTCGCCCAAGTACTTGCTCAGTATTCTCTACCTGGCCCGTCCGTGCGAGCACCCGGGCGCCGCCTATTCGCTGCTCTGGCTGGCTAATTCCTCGCGATGCTGGGGCTCGCCACCCTCCCTCAGCTGGCGCCATGCCCGGTTGGGGGACTCGCTCGCCGCCACAGAGGAATGGAGTTGGCCGCCCCCCTTGCCAGCCGCTTGTTCCCACCGTGAACATGCGATATAGTAATACAGTAGTACTACCCGTCGAACACGATTATTGTTACAGATGAAGTCGGAAGAAGATGGAAGGGAAGAGGAGGGATGGTGATGATGATGATGATGAAAAGGGGGGAAACGTTGGGAAAGGAGTGGAGCGCGCAAGAGCAGGAGGAAAAGCAGCAAGACAATGACGATGATATTGAGGAGGAGGCTGCCGCAGAGTTTGAACCCGGTAGGAAAAACCAGCAGGGAGGGGGCCGGGAGGCTTGACGCAAAACGTTGGGTGCTGCAACAATGGACTCACGACGGACGGACGCACTCGCACCAAAGCAGAGCTTGCTCTGGTGCGGCTCGTGGCTTGCCAGCTGCTGGTTGCTCCCGAGTACGAGGCATGCGTGCTCTTTGGTCCTCGCACATGTAACTCGTACGCCTGGCGGGACGCACAAGAGCAGGGAGCAGCCAGGTACGGGCAAGGCATGTGTACCACCTCAAAAGGAGACTGATCGGGTTCACTTACAGCGCAAGGCAGGGTACAAGTACATATGACCAGGTGTCATTGCACCATCTGCGCCGGCATCTCTCACGATAGTGTTCGTACTTGCTCCGGTGCCTACCTAGGTAATAAGGTACTCGTACTAGTCGAGGCGACTATCGGGCGACTCTCCATGGTCAATACTTACATACCTGGGCTCTTCCATTACTCGACGACGATGCCTCGAGCCAGGCCAGACTGCCCCCAGCGCCGCCATGTCCGATCCTTGTCCCGTGAGAGCCCAGAACACCAGACACCAGAGGAGCCACGGGATGGGGGTGGAGCGGTGAATGCAATTTCGACTCCTAAGAGAAAAGCCATCGACCGTCGGCTAACTGCGTAGACGAAGCTGGATTGGCTGGGATGGACGAGAGCTGTCTGCCAGCTAGCTGCATCACGCTGGCCTGAGTGGCTTCGCCCTCCCCCCTCTCGTCAACCTGTCCAGCCCGCAGAGTCTTGTGAGAACGCGCCCCCCCTCTCCAGCCCTGGAGCTATTTGCCCGCGCGCCTGACGATTTGAGAACCTATTACATTCTGTTGCTAATAGTAAGCACCTCAGCCTGACCTAGTACCTACAACCGGGTTGGTGCGGCACAGTATGACCACAGCTGCGTGCCTCTTCGGCAGCGACGACTCGCAACCAGGATGTCTTGCCTCGGTAACGGTTGAAGGGGGTCGGGTACATGTACCGCAGACTGTGTCGTAATATCATCAACGCAGAAGGTCTTTCAGAACGAGTCTCGCTGTACCCGATACCTCAGAGGGTGACGCTGCCCGCCCAGGCCAGGCAGAGTACCTACTGTAGGTAGGGCACACGTGCGTGAGCACGGCAGAAGATGGAGGATCTGTTCTCGGCAGCTCGCAGCAAGGAATCGAACGATGCAGGCAGACGGGAGTCAGACTTTTGCCGCCGGACTATGCCCCAAGCAGCTGCTCATGCTTTTGGTGTCAATATAAGTGCAGAGTGAATCTGGGTGGTTGATGACTGCGAATAGTAATAGGTAGTACTACAGCAGATGTTGTCACCTGTACGGAGGAGGCACCGATTCATGACATCTTGTGCCAGTCATCTGCTGTTCCTGACTCTAATAAGCCCCGCGTTTTCACCCAGCGATTTCGACCGCCACGAGATTCAGATTCAAGCCACAAGAGACGAAGTATGTAATAGACGCAGAATTGGAGGGTAGAAAAAAAAGAATCGCAATGGAATAGCCACATCACAATGGCTGTAGCACCATGGCGGCGCGTCAATAGAAAGAATCCCCCAGATTTGCTTGCATTGGCGGCTGTCGTGCGCATTGACTCCAAATGGTGGGAGTAGTAGTTTGTAGCAATTGAAACCAGCACAAAAAGAGCGAAAGAAAAGGGACGGGACGGCCAGATTATGCGGAGAAAACCTGGGGAAGGAAAGAAAAAAAAAAGAAAAAAAAAATTGCTTTCGAGCCGCTGCCACTCCACAGAAAATATACAGTGTGAGATCATACCAACACGGTGGCTTTCTTTTCTCGGCCTTTTTTGAATGGGCTGGTGCGCTTGTCATTCATTGCCAGCTTGGGCGGTTGCAGGAATCGGATGCTTGCCAAAGATTTGCAAGCAAGCCTTGAATTGGGAACGAGTTTTTAGCATGGATCTGCGGGCGATATCCGGGATGTCTATCCTGATGGCCTGACCAGCTGCTCATCATGGTATGTATGTACACTTGGTGTTATCGGTGTTAATATCCAGCAGCAATGATAGAATCCAAGCAATACTCCTCTGATCGTAGCCTTTGTAGGTGCGATCCTCCTCTCCCCAGATTCTACCTTGATACAAGCCACGCTCCGCAGCACATAAGCAGCTAAAAAGGCAAACCAAGGTATGTACAGTAGACGAGCAAGCTGGCCTTGATCCCTTCGTCAAGCCGAGAAAAGGGCCTTTGATAGTGTGCGCTCTTATTAGCATATTGATTCTGTCATGGTTTTTACAGTATAGATGCTGTCATGATTTCGAGCCCCGTCAATGATCGGTACCTACTTTATCGAGGGACAGGGGCAGAGTTTTTCTCTTCTTCTTCTTAGCTGCGGATAGGAGCAACATGGGTGATGCTTTGCCGCGGATGGAATCGGCGCACATGTATGCATTGTGACCAGGTATCCTGCTTCGCTTGTTCGCCCCCCCCCAGGAAGCGTATTCGTTACCTCGTAGCCTTGAAAGATTGACAGCGAGGAGCGTATTCCGCCAGATCATCACAGTTTCTCGGCATGTGAAGCCTCATCTCGACTGCGCTCAGCCACGGTCTTTGGTCCCGAGTTTCCCCAACCACCGAAATATTCATGGTTTAGGTACTAGGTAGGTATTTGGTGACAAGAAATTTTTTGCATATGTGCTATCTATCTCCGGCCTCGGCTTCAGCATCGGAGACTCTGTTCCCATATTGATACCAAGCCTTTGGGAGGAGAAGTCCAATGACGACCTGCAAATGTGAAAGGGGAACCTCTTTAAAGTAGCTGGTGTACCCGACTGTATTTCTGCCTCGATACCTCACCCACTGCATCAAACAGCATCAAACAAACAGCAACACACCCCATTAGATCACCTACGCGTATC